CAAGATCCGTCTCATTGCTTCCAAGGTGAGATTTGTGCCCGACACAGACCCCAACGAATTCAGTACATACTTCCATCTCTCCTTTTGGTGGGAACTTCCACTTGCTAATATGCTGGATATGCTAATAATTGCAAGTGGCAAACCACCACATTTCTTGAGAATCTCAACGGAAACATCTCTGAGTTGACCTGGGCAAGCTTCTTCAGAGCAAAATATCCTATCAAAAAATAATTTCCTTGAATCTTCTTCACTAAGAGGTTTCATTTCTAGAATGCGCTCGTGGTGACCAAAACAACACGCCTCTGCCACATTCTTGATTCTTGTAGTTACTATTAATCTACTACCAAGTTTATTTTCTTGGAAAGCACATTTAATAACCCTCCATGTTGGTACATCCCATAGATCATCGATGACAAGGAAGTACGTGTAAGACAGTCAAAATACAAAACTAAGAAAATAACAAAAGACAATCAAATAATTTCACAAGGTTCAAGGAAGACGAAAATGATTAGCATCCAATTAAAAATTAACTATCACATAGAAGAACATAATAATATTTTTTTATTGTTATTTTACCCTAAGGAAAATTAAAAAAATCTGGGCCAAACTAGCTGAAATTAAGTGCGTGTATATTTAAACTATTTTCTACAGTGCTCAGACAAATGAGAACCAACTTCTGTTCGTCAATTTGCTTGGCATTTAGGCAAAAGGATAAAAACTAGTTTACTTGTATCTTACTTTTCTCTCATTTTTTTTATTTCAACATGCTTTGGAATTGTAGCCTTGTTGTCTTTCTGAAACAACAGCCTTGTGGTATTACTTGGTTCATATATGATTTCATGCAATATTAGCAATTTGTCCACTAACCTTTTCATATGCAATTCATTCACATTTAGCAATTTGCAGTCATAGGATGTGAGCAACGGAGAGCAGTAGACTTTGCGCAACACATCTAGTACAAAATTACTTTATTTAGTCAAATATTTCTTGTCTTAGGTAAAAAATAAGCCACATTTTTTAGCTTGTGTTGGTCAGTAAATGCAATTTAGAGCCAAATCTTGTTTAAACTGGAAAGTATGGCACAAGCAAAAAAGCTCCATGTCAGTTTTTACATATTTTTCTTGATTTTCATGTTTGTAGGATGATCCAGTGACCGTGTTCTCTATGTTTTAAGTTGTAAATGGTACCTTTTTTCAAATGTTCATGAGGGCCATGCTTTGCAACTGGTGTAACATATTATAGGGCTGAGAGGAATGTGCCCTCTGACTACCTATTGAATCGGTACTCTGGAGTGAAATGACATAATCAATAATTTAATTGACTTCTCTATAATTATAGGTAATAATGTGAAAACGTGTATTGGAAAAAGTTAACTGTCAAATATTTTTATGTTGTTAATTATCTGAAAAATCTTTGACAAAGAGAAGTGGATACAGTATGCATCTTTTTTTTTGAACGCAGATGCAAAAGATTTGCCTCATTCATTAATTAAGGAAGGAGACAAGGTTTAAGTCGGAGCCACATGAGGCCCACTGAAAACAAAGACATTACTCTCGCGGCATCAAATTACTCAGGCGTTTTGCACCCGCTAGCACCCAGAGCCTAGCTTCCTCCTTCAAGATTCGCAAGATGATTTGGGGGGCGTCGATTTTGTTAGGAGTAAGCCATGCAACGGCTTGGTGATAGCTGAGTCGTCCGCGCGAAGCTGGCAACCAGCAGCAGCTTCGGCCGAGCAGTTAGGCAGCTGTGGTGCGCGGTGTGCGCTGCCAAGGTCGTGGGCAGTTGAGTGCATGCATGCATTAGATGAATAAGTTAGCGTGTGTGCCGGCCAAGTACAAGGTGCATGCGGGTAGTTAGCTAGATTAGTGCGTGGGTTAGTGGCCGATGTGGTGGCCGTGTGAGTGTGTGCACCTGGTATAAAAACCCCCCTTGTTGTTGATGTAGTGCGCTGGTCTGTTGCTGAGCCGTGATGTAGCCTTTGTGCTGAATATAAAGGAGGCGTTTGGGCGCCGGGGCGTTCGTCGCCGGGGCGTTGGTCGCCGGAAAAAAGTGATGCGTCTACCTCCAGTCTAGCGTGAGAGCGAGCAGCAACAACAATTGGTATTCAGAGCTACAAGGTTCGAGGGGCGGCCGTGGCGCGTGGCGGAGGCGGAGGGGGTGACGTCGTACGTGCGGCGACCACGAAGGCCGCCGAGGCGCTGCGTCGTGGCGCGGCGGCGCAACACGGTGTGGCGGCGTGGAGGCACTGCATGGCGGCATGGAGGCCGCGGCGGTGCAGGGCAATAAGACGCGGCGGCGAGCCGGGCGCGACCGGTGCGTGTTATGGGTGCGCACTGGACGTGTCGGGCGCGTCGGGACCGCGGGAGTGGACCGCGTCGAGGCGCTGGACCTGGTTGCGCAGATCGCGTACGTGCGCGGCGGGAGCGCGGGACGGGAGCGCGGGGACGTGGGGAGTGCGCGCGAAAAGCACGGTGGTCGCGGAGACGAGGAGGTCGCGGACGACCTGTGTGGTGGCGCAGAGGTCGCGGCGGCTCGGCGCGACAACCGTGGAGGCGCGTGGCACGGAGCCGCGGCGGCCCTGGCGGACCTGCGTGGTGGCGGCTGCCATGGAGGACGCGGAGGCGGCACACGGTGAGCGTCTGGTGCTGTCAGGCTCGTCGGGCGCGTCGGATGCGCGCGGGACGTGCGGGACGCACTGGTACGGTCGGGCTCGTCGGGCGCGCGCGGGACGTGCAGGGCGCGGAGGGACGCCAGGCGTGTGTCGCCGGCGGAGATGGAGCTCGGCGTATGTCGCCGGGGTGGTGACAGAGCATGGTGCGACCGACGTCAGTGCGCCATGTCGGATCCGTGGCGGTGCGAGGATCCGTGGCGGTGCGACCGGCGTCGGTGCACCGGGTCGGGTCCACGGACTGGGTCACGTTCGTGGCGATGACATCCACATGAGCTACTCCGGCCACGATGAGATCGTGGCTTAGGGGGAGAATGTTAGGAGTAAGCCACGCAACGGCTTGGTGATAGCTGAGTCGTCCGCGCGAAGCTGGCAACGAGCAGCAGCTTCGGCCGAGCAGTTAGGCAGCGGTGGTGCGCGGTGTGCGCTGCCAAGGTCGCGGGCAGTTGAGTGCATGCATGCATTAGATGGATAAGTTAGCGTGTGTGCCGGCCAAGTACAAGGTGCATGGGTGCATGCGGGTAGTTAGCTAGATTAGTGCGTGGGTTAGTGGCCGATGTGGTGGCCGTGTGAGTGTGTGCACCTGGGTATAAAACCCCCCCTCCCCCTTGTTGTTGATGTAGTGCGCTGGTCTGTTGCAGAGCCGTGATGTAGCCTGTGTGCTGAATATAAAGGAAGGAGGCGTTTGGGCGCCAGGGCGTTCGTCGCCGGAAAAAAGTGATGCGTCTACCTCCAGTCTAGCGTGAGAGCGAGCGGCAACAACAGATTTCTTCTGGAAGATCCTTGCATTTCTCTCATTTCAAATGGTCCAGGTGGTGAGCAAGGTGAGGGTCGTCATCGCCTTGCTGCGCCTGGCCATATGAGTTCACCAACTACTGAGAGAGTGATGATGCCACCAACTACAGTATGCATCTTTAAGAAAATCAATCTTATAAGTGATCACTAGTAAATCCGTGAATATATAACTTGGAGTGCTTCCTTGGTTACTAGGCATAGTTGTGACGACACAAGTGACAACGGTCTTCTGTAGTCATTTTTTTTCTAAAAGATGCATATACATAGTATTTTGAGAACGACACAAGTGACAACGGTCTTCTGTAGTTAATTTTTTCTAAAAGATGCATATACATAGTATTTTGAGAAGACTTCAGGACTACGTACCTAATGATTCATATTATTGTCCTTTGTTCTTTGGTGACACTAGATATACGGGCATACTAAAAAAGTTCACTCTATTTAGTCAAATTTGATTTACATACTCTATTTAATCAAATTTGACCTACATGGGATTGCAGTTTGTACTAAATCTTGTTTAAATTGGAAATACTTCACAAATTTTTCATAGAACTGTTTTCAAGTTCATCCCATACAAAACTCAAAACGTCTCATGGCCATCTTTACTTTGTTTTTATTCCTTTCTATTAGGATCATCTCGTGATTTCCTCTAAATCTTTACAACAACAACAAAGTCTTTAGTCCCAAACAAGTTGGGGTAGGCTAGAGGTGAAACCCATAAGATCTCGCAACCAACTCATGGCTCTGGCACATGGATAGCAAGCTTCCACGCACCCCTGTCCATAGCTAGCTCTTTGGTGATACTCCAACCCTTCAAGTCTCTCTTAATGGACTCCTCCCATGTCAAATTCGGTCGACCCTGCCCTCTCTTGACATTCTCCGCACGCTTTAGCCGTCCGCTATGCACTGGAGCTTCTGGAGGCCTGCACTGAATATGCCCAAACCATCTCAGACGATGTTGGACAAGCTTCTCCTCAATTGGTGCTACCCCAACTCTATCTCGTATATCATCATTTCGGACTCGATCCTTCCTCGTGTGGCCACACATGCATCTCAACACACGCATCTCCGCCACACCTAACTGTTGAACATGTCGCCTTTTAGTCGGCCAACACTCCGCGCCATACAATGTTGCGGGTCAAACCGTTGTCCTGTAGAACTTGCCTTTTAGCTTTTGTGGCACTCTCTTGTCACAGAGAATGCCAGAAGCTTGGCGCCACTTCATCCATCCTCTAAATCTTTAACTCTGAAAAATAGTCTCTTCTTTCAACTAAGATAAGGTTGATTCTTTGTAGCATTTAAGGTACTAAGGCTGTGTTCAGCAATACTCTGCTCCTTCGCCAGGGAGCGGAGCGGGCGGAGCACCCATTTGGCCGCTCGCCAAAATTCCATTGGATGCCGCTCCACTCCGCAGCGGAGTTACGGAGCGGAGAGATTCCGAACGGCCTCTAAGTAGGAAGTATTACGGATATTTCCGGTGATGACCTTCTGAATCCGGACTCCGAAGACGGAAAGAGCCAGACATTACTCCCATTTTCTATAATAGAGAAAGGAGTTGTAGATAAAGACCGTAATGTATGCTAATGTTTATTAAAAACATAGACCCATTATCAGAGGCACATGAGAACAACAACAACAACAACAATATACAAAGTAAGAATAAGTACCTCTTGTTTTTTAAAGTTTCTCTGATTTGGTCGAGAAGAACATTTATCTCACAATCATGAAAAGATTGTCTACATCCAATTATTTGGGTCAATAAACTATGGAGAAGTTTAGGAATATTCGGCTTTTGAGACATTGGAACAAACGCACCACAGTGAAATTCCCCCTTCAGCTTATGGTATACCTCATTGGCAAGTGTTGTTTTACCCAAACCTCCAAAACCAACAATTGACACAACCTTCAACTGCTTCTCCTCATCTTTTAGCCAACTTACAAGATCGTTGGTTGGGCCCTCCATACCAACAAATTTAGCCGCATTCTCATAGAGTGCGACAACCCGTTGGTCAACAGCCACAGTGCAGGATGTCGGGACATCGACCTTATACCTCTCACGACGTGCACTTGTTTCATGCACGAGTTTCTTGATGTCCTCAATCCGTCCAGCAACCTGATGGCGGGCTCTTGAAGTTTTGAGGCGTTGAATAGTGTCGTGGACAAAGCTAGTTTTTTTGTTTTTGTTTTCAACTTTGTGCATGAAGTCATCGACAATATCCTCGATGTCATATGACATCTCCCTGACCGCATCCCTCCACCTTGCAGCCTGTATATTGAGCTCATCCACATCTGCAAGGCGCTCTAGAGCATCCTTCATGCTGCTTAGCTCATCACTGATATACTTCACCTCCTTCCTCAAGTTCTTTAGCTTGGCAAACTCCTCCCCCATCAAGGTGGCTAGCTTACGAAGAAGAGGGTTCATCACCCCAATTGAAGCGCTCACAATTATTCCAGCCATATCTGGCTGGACAAGGATCTATCTTGGCTTCTCTATTTATGATTGCGCTGCACCTGAAACATTTAAACAGCCTGCTGAATGAAGGAAATTTCTAGCAAACGGGGCGGAGATCTGAACAGTCCAGCCATAAGAATGGGTTTTCGTTTTAATTTCCAGCAATTTTAGAGCAAGATTATAATACCTGAGCTGGAAGAGTGATTCACTTGAATGGCGAGCTTGGAATGGCCATTACTCGAGAAGCAGAAACATGTCACATGCAGCCATGGCGCTATCAGTGTCACAGAAGGATCTATCTTGTGGCTCCCTAGTTATGCTTGTGCTGTATCTGAAACGTTTAAACAGCCTGCTCAATGAAGGCAATTTCTGTAGCAAAAAGGCCACGAAAAAAATAGGGGCAGAGACTTCAACAGTCCATCCATCCATAAGTATGGGCTTTCATTTCCATCGATTTCAGATTAAAAGCGTGTTGTGGTAAGAATCGCGGTTGGAAGGGTGATTAACTAAAAGGTGAGGTATCGGTTCAGTATCCGGCGTATCTCGTAGTAGGGGTCCTAAGCTTGACGTCTTGGAGCGATGGTAACATGGACACGGATTTTACCCAGGTTCGAGCCCTCTTGATGGAGGCAAAACCCTACGTCCTGCTTTAGATTGTATTCATATGGGGATAGTACAGAGTACATATGTCTACCACGAGATGATAATAATGAATATGAGATTGTCTATTGACTAGCCTGGGCTCGGTTTATATAAGACATCGGAGGCCTAGGGTTTAGGAGAGTCCTTGTCTTGGGCGCCAAGTCTTGTGGAATCTTCCTTGTATGCGGCACGGGTTGTCCGAATTGGCCCATGAGTATACGGCCATGGGGGTCCTCGTCCCAATCCAACTGATCGGGAGACGACGTGGTGAGTACCCCCTAGTCCAGGACACCGTCATGAGGTTCAAGTGACTGACACACCTTAATTCCATTGAGGCCATTTTACTCCAGAAGCAGAAGCATTGTTGTGGCGCAGTTCGATCGCGCCTCACTCTCACTGTGGACTGAGACGATGGACTGTTCGAAAATTCAGAGCTAATTTACTTCAATTATCGCCCTCAGATCCACCCAGCCGGGGGTTGACCTCTTTGCTGAAGCAAAAAAAGAAATCTAGATCCACCGCGAGATCCAAAGCCAGTGAACTCCAGATCCACCCCGACATCCAAAACCAGTGAAATCATACGACTTAAGTGACCAGTAAGAATAAAATAGAAACATCTAGCTGATCTGAAGACGAGCAAGTTATGAAACTAGAAGACGTCGCTGGACGGGAGACAGGGAGATAGACCTGAGCAGGTTTTCTTCGCAGAGATGGGAGAAGAGCAGCCTGTCGTCTCCGGCGTAGGTGCAGCAGCAGAGGCGTGACACCGTGGAGAAGCAGCAGCAGCGATGTGGATGGAGCCGCTTGTTGACCTGGGGCGAGAAAAACCAACGCGGAGGGAGGAAGAAGAGACGCCAGGCTCAATCAATCACTAGTGGAGCAGGTTGCATTTTCTCTGTTTAGCACTTCTCATTCTCTCATATTTCCGTGTTAAGCACGTTTACTTTGCTAATTTCTTCAATCGAGGCCTGGGAACATTTACCTTTCCCTTGTTAAGGTCCTAGGTGCAAATGATGCCTTCCTTAGTGGCATAAAACTAGAAGAAAAATGGGGTTGATAGGAAAAATAGATGCAGGAAGCATCTTGGTTATTTTCCATATCCACTTGTGCAAAGCAAAGCATATGAAGGTGGTTAAGACTTTGTCTTTTCCCTGTTTTTTACGGTTGGTACGTACCCCACCCGAGTGTGTAATAAAATGTTGAGAGCAGCCAAGGCAAAAGCGTGTTTGTGCACAAGCACAAAAGGCTATTCCATTCAAGCGTGTTTGGCCCTGCTTTTAAAAATTCTGGCTCCCCCATTCACATAGTAACACTTTTTATTTTGTCTGGTTTGGAAAATGGTGCAGGAAGCATCTGGGTCATTTTCATGTCCATTTGTGCAAAGCAAAGCATCTCAAGGTGGTTCAGACTTGTCTTTTTCCTAGTTTATAACGGGCATACTAATACGTACGGCAGCCATTGAAAAAAACGCGTTTGTATAGTTTGGTTTGGTGGGCAGTGGGCCAGTTTAAACGCTGAATGCTTCACTTGGTAAGCATCGTGTGCGGGACTCGAGCAATCAGCAAACAGAACTGCTGGGCTATGCTTAGGTTCCTCGTCAGCTCACATATCACGGAAAGTGAGAACAACCTTCTTGGGCCACCCTGATCTTGAACGTTCAACTGTTATATGTGCTTACTTGGGAGTCAATATTGTATTGCACCCTGATCTTGAACGTTTAACTGTTATACTGTATGTGCTTACTCGGTCCAAATTGACCTGTGCGGACTTTAATCATCGTTTCGTTATGCACGGAGCTTGACATCATCAGGCTTGCTCAAGTTGGTTGATCTCGTCCGACCTTCAAAGATGTGAAGTTGAGCACGACGCACTTGGTGCATCCCTGATTTCCGGCGTTCAAGCTTTATGTTCTTACCTGTCCACAGTGCATGTCTAAAGTTTCATTGTTGGCTAAGTAGAGGATCCTGAGATGAAAATACCCGAGATGAAGATAGTAGTATCAGTGGCGGAGACAGGGGGGCCAGCAGGGGCGTGGCCCTCCTAAGATCATTGATTTGTTGCTCCTGTTAAACATGTCATGTACATGTGCATCGTGCCATGCACCGCACCACCTAGCGCATACGGTATAGATTAGATTGGTACGTTGGTAGTAGTATTCTCTCTTATCTCTATCTTGTTGTAACCAACTCTATCTCTTGTTCTCCAAGTCTATCTCTGTAACAACTCATGCATGCGCTGTATCAGGGAGGTGCGCCCCTGCTTATTTAACACGAACCCGTCGCCTCTAACGAGGTAAGACGTTTCCGCCATCGCACATGGTAATCAGAGCCCTTCCTCTCTCAACCTAGCTATCCCGATTGCATCTAGTGCATAGCCATGTCTTCATCCGGCGCCTCCCAACCTAGCCACAACGGCCAGGTCACCGAGAAGCTCAACCACAAGAATTACGTGCTCTGGCGCATGTAGGTCACACCCCACCTGCGGGGCGCCGGTGTCTTCGGCTACGTCGACGGCATCTCGCCGGAACCGGCCAGACTCCACATCACCAAGGACAAAGATGGGAAAGGAGACTTCTGTGCCCAACCCTCTCCACCCACTCTGGGTCAGGGAGGACCAACAAGTGCTCGGCTATTTGCTGAGTACTCTTTCCAAGGAGGTACTGGTCGCGGTCACCGCGATCACCACGACGCGTGAACTTTGGGTGGCACTGGCGGGCATGTTCTCGTCCCAATCCCTCAGCCGCGTCAACAACATCTGAACTGCGCTCATCAACGCGCAGAAGGGCAACCAGTCGGTCGCCTCCTACTTCGCCTCCCTGCGCGGCCTCGCTGATGAACTCGCCGCCACCTGAAAACCCATCTAGGACGACGAGTTGATCTCGTACATCCTCCACGGGCTGGACGTCGACTACCAGCCGCTTGTCTCTGCCCTCGACGCCCGCGTCACGCCCGTCACCCTTGATGAGCTCTACGCCATGATGAGTAAGTTTGATCAACGTATGGCCCAATTCCATGGCTTCTCCGGTGGCTTCAAATTCCATGGCTTCTCCGGTTGCTCCACCAACCCCAAACCTCGTCGCGGCGGCAGCTCCACCAGATCTCGTCTGGATGCCCCTCGGTGTCATATCTGTGGCAATCTTGGGCACACGGCCAAAGACTGCTGGTACCGCTACGATGAAGACGACGACGACTCCCAAGACGAGGACAAAGTTGCTGTAGTGGCGGACGGCTCCTATGGCGTTGACACAAACTGGTATGTCGATAGTGGTGCTACCAATCACATCACAAATGAGCTCGAGAAGGTCACCATGAAGGAGAAGTATCGTGGAAAAGATCAAATCTACACTGCCAATGGTGAAGGTATGAGGATCAGTCATGTTGGTCACTCGTTTTTTAGTACCCCTCGTCGTAAAATTCATCTAAAGAAAATTTTGCATGTCCCTAGTGCCGATAAGAATCTTCTCTCTGTTCATAGAATTGCCATTGACAATCATGTCTTCCTTGAATTTCATCCTTCCTTTTCCTTGATCGAGGATCAGGCAACGAAGAAAATACTCTATCGAGTTAGATGCATTCGAGGGCTCTACCCGTTGCTTCCGGAGCATTCAAGATTCAATAAACGAGCCTATGGTGTTGCCAAACTTTCGTCAGCACGGTGGCACGATCGATTAGGACATGCTGCTTTCTCTTTAGTTGAAAAATTACTTAGGAAAAATAAGCTCCCGTATGTTGGTGAGCGTGATCTTGAAACTATTTGTGATTCTTGTCAACGAGCAAAAAGTCGTCAGTTGCCTTACCCTATATCTACTAGTGTCTCTACCAAACCTTTACAATTAATCTTCTCCGATGTTTGGGGCCCTGCCCCTAGTTCTGTTGGTAGACACACTTATTATGTAAGCTTCATAGATGACTACAACAAATTTTCATGGATCTATCTTCTCAAGAGAAGATCCGATGTCTCCCAAGTTTTCCAAAACTTCCAAGATTTAGTTGAAAGAAAATTTGATAGCAAGATCATTGCCGTCCAATCCAACTGGGGGGGGGGGAGTATGAAAAACTAAACTCCTTCTTCCAAAACCTTGGCATATCACATCATGTGTCATGCCCGCATTCTCATCAACAGAATGGCTCAGCTGAACGCAAGCACAAACATATAGTTGAGGTTGGTTTAGCCCTTCTTGCTTGTGCATCCATGCCCCTCAAGTTTTGGGATGAGGCTTTCCTCACTGCCGTTCGTATCATCAACATGCTTCCTAGTCGTGTTATCAACAACGAAACTCCACTAGAACGACTTTTTCACACAAAACCCGACTACAAATCTCTTCGTGTCTTTGGGTGTGCCTGTTGGCCCAATCTTCGTCCATA